ATTTCTGCATTACAGTGATTGATTGATTGATTGATTGATTGTGTGTGTGTGTGTGTGTGTGTGTGTGTGTGTGTGTGTGTGTGTGCCTGTCTGTATGTACATGTGTGCAGTACTCACAGAGACCGGAAGAGGGTGTTAATTAGAGAGGCCCAATGTAGGTACTGGGAACCGAACATGGGTTCTCTGGAAAAGCAGCAAATGCTCTTAACTGGTGAGCCATCTCTCCAGTCCCCCTCCCTTTTTATCTTGTTTTCTTCTCTCTCTCTTTTTTTTAAATTTTAGTATTTTTATGTGTATGAGTGTATTGCCTGCATGTAGGTAAGTGCACCTGTGTTGCGCAATGCCTGAAGAGGACAGAAGAGGCCATCAGATCCCTTGGAACTGGAATTACAGACAGTTGTTAGCTGCCATGTGGGTGCTGGGATTTGAACCCAGGTCTTCTGCAAGAACAACCAGTGTTCTTAACCACTAAGCCATCTCTCTAGTTCCTTCTTCTCTTTTCTTAAATATTTCTCTTAATTATTTATTTATTTAGTTTTTGAGACACGGTGTCTGTATAGCCCCAGCAGGCCTGGAACTCCCTATGTAGACCAGGCTGGGCTGCATCACACAGAGATCTGCCTGTCCCTACCTCCTGAGTGCTGGGATTAAAGGCCTGTACCACCATACCTGACTTTTTTTTCAGACAGTGGCTGGCTTGAATACTCTAGGTAGATCAAGCTGGCCTGGCTTTTGCAGTGGTCTTCCTGCCTCTGCCTGAGCACTGGGACACAGGTATGTGCCACCATGCCCAAGTAATTTATTTTTGTTGCTGAGTATATTCAATTGTATACTTATACTATAGCTTATCTGTTCACCAACTGATGGACATTTGTGGGTTTTTTTTTTTTGTTGTTGTTGTTGTTGTTCTTTTTGAGACAGGGTCTCCCTGTAGCCCCAGCTGTCCTAGAACTCACTATGTAGACCAGGCTGGCCTTGAACTCACAGAGATCTGTCTGCCACTGCCTCCCGAGTGCTGGGATTAAAGGCGTGCGCCACCATGCCCGGCTTGTTTTGATGTTTGAATTATTATAAATGTAGCTGTTATCAACATACCTGTACAAGCCTTAGTGTGGACTGTTTTAATTTCTCTTGGGTAGATACCTAACAGTGAAATGGTTCAGTCATGCGGTAGATTTACTATTTATGGGACTGATGCGCTACCTACTGAGCTGAGGTACCTTAGATTTATTATTTATAAATTGGCTATAATCCAGATGCGATCTGGGGTGTGTGTGTATTGCCTGATGTTTGTATCAGGAAGTGTAATTTTTGACTCATAAGCTAAGTTGAGGAGTTTTATAAAGTCTTCTTTCATGTGCTGCTGAAACAGCTTTTTTTTTTTTTTCTGGCTTTTTGAGATTAGGGTTTCCCTATAGCCCCCACCTGGCCTGGAACTCACTACACAAACCATGCTGGCCTAGATCTCACAGAGCTCCGCCTGCCTGAGTGCTGGGATTAAAGGCACTCACACTACCACACCCAATTCTGAAACAGTTTTTTAAACCTTTATTAGTTTGTGTGTGTGTGTGCGTGTGTGGTATGAGTGAGCACATGCCATGGCTCTCATGCAGAGGTCAGAGGACAACTTGCAAGAGTTGGTGGTTGTTTTTTTCCATCATGTAGATTCTGGGGAAGGAACTCAAGAGCCAGGTGTGATGGCACCTTACCTCCTGAGCCATTTTGCTGGTCTTAGAATAGTTTAACTCTATCAAATTTTATTGATGAATTAGTAGAATTTGCCAAGGACTGGGGATGTAACTCAGTACAGCATTTGCCTATTGTGCACGTGGTCCTGAGCTTAGTCCACAACACTCTAAAAACAAAAACCCAAAACAACCTTCTTTTTAATCTACAAAATAATCTGTACCTGATGCTGCTCTCTAGGAAATCCTCCAATTCCTGCTTCTCCCCCCACCCTCTTTGTGGTAGGAATCAAACTCAGAGCCTCATGAATGCTCTATAGCTGAGCTACAGTCTCAGCCCTTAAGAACCATTCATTTTGGGGCTGGAGAGATGGCTCAGTGGTTAAGAGCACTGACTGCTCTTGCAGAGGACCCAGGATTCGATTCCCAGCACCCACCTGGCGGCTACAAACCATCCTTAACTCCAGTTATAGGGGAATCTGAAGCCCTCTTCTGACCTCCACAGCATTGCAGGACATAGGGCACTCACATACATGCAGGCAATACACTCATACACATGAAATAAAAAAAAAATATATATATATATAAAGAACCATTCATTTTTATTTTTCTTGTTTCTCTCTTTAAAAAAAATTATTTTATTTTTGGGTCAGTGAAATGGCTTGGCAGGTAAAGGCAGTAAAGGTACTTTCTACCAAGCCTGAAGCTCTAAATTCAATCCCTCTGGAATCTGCATGGTGGAAGGAGAGAACCCATTCTCACAAGATGTGCACTGATCTCCACATGTGCACTATGGAACATGCACACACTCACACACAAATAAGTAAATGTATTTTTGTGTATATGTGTGTGTCTGTGTGGGTATCTGCCCATGTGAGTTCAGGTGCCTGTGGAGTCCAGAAGAGGGCATCAGATCCCCTGGAGCTGAAGTTATAGGCTGTTGTAAGTTGCCTGATATGAATGCTGGGTGCTAAACTGCAAGAACAGTCACCATCTTAACTACTGAGCCATTTCAAGCCCCTTTCCTTTTTTATTTAAACAAGATTTTGCTATATCTGGCCTCAAAATCTCTTTAAATTATTTTTATATTTATTTATTCATTATGAGTGTTCCTGCATGTGTATATTAATGTGTCATGGATACCTGTGGAGGTCAGAGAACAACTTGGAAGAAGTTGGTTCTTTCCTTTTACCATGTGAGGTCCAAGGATGGAACTCAGGTTGTCAGACTTGAGGGCAAGCATCATTTACTGGGCCATCTCACTGGTGCTGATCTCAACTTCTTGAGTGCTGAGATTGTAGGCATTTACCACCACACCTAGCTCATTCTGTACTGGGGTTTGAACCCAGGGCTTCATACATGTTAGGCAAGCACTCTACCATCTGAGCTATAGCCCCAGCCCAGAATGTAATGCTTTTAAGGAAAGAAGTATAAGCTAAGCCAGGCACGATGGCACAAGCCTGGAATCTTAGCATTTAGAATTTGGGATACTGAGACAGGAGGATCAAGAGATTGAAAGTTTGAGAATTAGAGACATCCTGAGCTATATAGCAAGAACTTGTCTTAAAAGAAAAAACGGTGCCGGGCGTGGTGGCACACGCCTTTAATCCCCGGCACTCTGGAGGCAGACAGGCAGATCTCCCTGTAAGTTCAAGGCCAGTTATTTTGATATATCACAGTGAAAGATTTATCGTCCTCTTTTTTTTTTTTTTTTTTTTTTTTTTTTTAAAAAAAAAAAAAAAAAAAAAAAAAAAAAAAGGAAAAAGGGCCAGGTGTGGTGGCCCTTTAATCCCAGCATTCAAGCAGGCAGATCTCTGTGAGATCAAGGCCAGCTTGGTTTACATAGTGAGTTCCAGGCCCGCTGGGATTACAGGAAGACTTTGTCTCAAAAAACAACAATTATAGCAGCAAAAATCCCAATAACAGCAACAACAAAAAAGCAAAAATAATTCTGAGGTAGCTATCTCTATATCATGAAAGATATATAATACCAGTCACTGGTGGAGTGAATGAATGATGCTATCTAGTTACTATAACAAATATACTCTAATGTTTCAGGTGCTTAACATAATAAAAATTAATTTACTATTCATATGCCCTTATTTATTTCTCACACAGTTTTCCACCATGGATGGTCTTCAGGACTGGGGGCCCGTCCACTGTGAGATGATTCCTGAGCTCAGGTTTCAACCATCTTCCCTTGGCATTGAGCTGGCAGCTCCAGGAGAGGGGCGGCAGTAATTTTCTGACTTTTAAATTCTTGCTTTGCAAGTGACACTCAACATTCCCACTTACTTCTTTTGGAGTTACATATCCCCCCTATGCAAAGGGGGCTGGGAAATGCAATTCCTGGATGGGCAGCTACTGCCCAACAATAATTTTGTACCACATAAGGTAACCTGTGTGTGGGGTGACATGTGACAGGTTATTTTTGGTGGACAGTTAACTACCTCTTTCATGGGAGCCAAGAGGTTTATTACTGAGATTTTCATTGCTCTCCACTGTGAGATTTTTTGTGCCAGTATTTGATGAATGATTGTTTTCACGGCTGCCAAGAGCTGCTGAGTAAGACTGTAACTGCAGACATTCATTTCCTTGCTGTGTTTGTCCAACAACTCACTGTCTCACAGCTGGAAAGCTCATTACTCACAAGCACTTCTTTCCTAGGTACAAGAACATAAAGATGTATTTATTGAACACTGTTCAAGGGCAACAGCAGCGAGCTATGGATCTAAAAATATACACTATTCAAACAGTAAGCTTAAATAACTGGTGAAAACCCGAATATTAAAGAGAACCTGAAGACACATGCCAAACATTTCTTTCATTTTTCCATCCATTTAAAAAATGGACACATAATTCAAAAACAAAAGTTCATATAGCAATCTTCACTTCAAGATGTACAATTCAGTGGGCCTAGTATAGTCACAGAGTTGCATTGACTCTAACATAGTGATAGTGGATGACTTCAACATTCCACTGTCACCAACAGAGAGGTCATCCAGGCAAAAAACAAATCAAGAAACCCCAGAGTTAAATGACATCATAAGTCAAATGGACTTAAGCAGACATTACAGAACATTCCACCAAGACACCAAAGAATACACTTTCTTTTCAGCCCATGGAACTTTCCCCAAACTTTCTCAGCCATTGCCACTATTCAGTTACCAAATAATTTCACATCCCCAAAGAAACTCTGTACATCTTGCAGTGCTGGGAAGGGATGAACCCAGGACCGTGTGCATGGTAGGCGAGTGTTCTACCACTGAACCACATCCCAGATAAAACTCTGTGCCTCTTGACAGGAACTCCTGTTTCCTTCCTCCCTATAGCCTGGCCATATTTTGTCTCTATGGCTTTGCCTGGTCTAGATTCTTTCATATAAATATAATCATGTGCTGTCTAGTCTTGTGCAAATATTTTCTTCACTTAGAGGATGACTTTTCTTTTTTCTTTTTGTCTTTTTGAGACAGTGTCTCCTTGTAGCCACAGCTGGCCTGGATTCACTATTGAGACCAGGCTGGCCTCAAACTCACAGCATCTGCCTGCCTCTGCCTCCCAAGTGCTGGGATTAAAGGCATGAGCTACCTACCACACCCAGCCACTTATTTTTCTTGATGGCTGTGACCAAATATCTGACAAGAAGCAGCGAAGGGAGGAAGGGTTAATTTCAGCTTATATTTTGAGGGTACAGTCCTTTACAGAGGGGAAGACATGGCATGGTGACAAGAGAGTGAAATGGATGGTCACATGGCATCCACAGTCAGGAAGCAGAGAGAGATGAATGCTGGTGCTCAGCTCACTTTCTCCTTTTTATTCAGTCTGGGACTCCAGCCCATGGGGTGTGTCATCCACTTTCAGGATGAGTCTTCAGTTCAACCTTTCTGGAAACATCTTCATAGACACACCCAGATACCCCACCTTGGGGTGGTGTCATTCATTTTCAGGATGAGCCATCTCTCCTCAGTTAAACCTTTCTGAAAGCATCTTCATAGACACACCTAGACATGTGTCCATGGTGATTCTAGATTTTTTATTTTATGTGTATACGTGTTTTGTCTGTCTGAATGTAAGTACATCACATGTGTACAAATTTATGAAGGCCAGAAGAGGGTGTTAGATTCCCTGGGACTGGAGTTAAGGACAGTTTTTAGCCATCATGTGGATACTGGAAACTGAACCTGGGTCTTCCTCAAGAGCAGTCAGTGCTCTTAACTCCTGAACCACCTCTCCAGCCCCATAGCAGCATCATGTTTTTAAGGTTTTTTGTGATGTAGTATCAATACTTCATTTCTTTTTGTGATGAATAATATTCCTTTGAATGGGTATAATATATTTTGTTTATCTGCTATGTATTCATTTAAAATATTTTTTTAAGTTGGAGCTTGGGATGTAGCTCAGTTGGTAGAGTGCTTGCCTAGTATGCACAAGGTTCTGGGTTTCATCCTATGCACCACAGAAACCAGACACATTGGCACACTCTTGTAATCTTAGCACTTGGGAAGTGGTGGCAGAGAGATCAGAAGTTTAAGGTCATCCTCAGTCACAGAGCAAGTTCAAGGCAAGCCTGAGCTAGACACACTACCTCAAAAGTAATTTTTTAAAATACTTTTATTTTAAAGTTATTTTTATTTTATGTGTGTTATGCCTGCATGTATGTAAGTGTACCCGTGTTGTGCAGTGCCCATGGAGGATAGAACAGAGTGTGAAACTCCTGGAACCGGAGTTTCAGATGATTGTTAGTCACCTTGCAGCAGCTGGGATTCAAACCTGGGTCCTCTGCAAGCAACCAGTACTCTTAACTGCTGAGCCATCTCTCCAGACCCCTCAAAAGTAATTTTTAAAAATAACTGTGACGCCAGGCGGAAGTGCTCCTGAGGCAGAGACAGGTGAATCTCTGTGAGTTCAAGGTCAGCCTGGTCTATGTAGTGAGTTCCAGGCCAGCTAGGGTTACAGGGAGACCCTGTCTCAGAAAAGACCGGAAAAAAAAAAATTGTGGCAGAATATGCAACAGAGTTTGCCATCTTAACCATTTTTGTGTGCCCTTTTCTGTGATATAAGTCCATTCATACTACTATGCAACCAACCATCACCATCATTCATGAATAGAATGCTTGCTTTCCTGCAGAACAGAAACACGCACCAAACAACTCATTTCCCCTCACTGTATTCTACTTTCTGTTCCTGTGAATTCAACTACTCCAGGTACCTCATAGGAATAGAATCAAACAACATTAGTCCTTTTCTGACTTATTTTAATACAGGGGGGAAAAAGGGGTCCTCTTATAGGGTTCTTGGTTTCATTCATGAAATAATTTAAGAATGGACTCAAATGGAAGCTTTAGGAGAATTTTATTAGAATGTAAGGAAAAATCCTTACAGCAAGCAAGCCATAAATCTCAGCAGCTGCCTTGAGGAGGAGAACGGAGTAGAGAAGGAAAAAAGCCATAGCACCTCATGGAGGTAGGTCAGATGTGCTGTGGACCGAAGAATTCAGTCTGAAGAATTCAGAAAATCGGGCAAAACTTACAGAGAGAAAAATGCCTATGACCCAATCCACAAGAACTGCCAAACGCTGGGAATTTGGGGGCAGGAAAAGTTCACCATCTCATTAACTCACTAGGTGTTCTGCCCATCTCTTTAGCATAGCTTAAGGTGAACCTACCTTCCAGGGGTGTTCCTATGACCAGCAAGACTGGAAAGTTGGGTCTTTGTCCACATCAGAGGTCTTATTCTCCTGAGCAGACTTCTCCCAGGGCACTTCTTGCCATTATAACATTTTGCTTTAGCATAAAGTCACCCAGGTTCATCCATTTTGTATCATATGTCAGAATTCCTTCCCTTTTTTTTTTGGTCTCTTTGAGACAGGGTCTCCCTGTAGCCCCAGCTGTCTTGAAACTCACTATGTAGACCAGGCTGGCCTTGAACTCACAGAGATCTGCCTGCCTCTGCCTCCCAAGTGCTAGGACTAAAGGTGTGCACCACCACGCCCAGCAAGACTGTATCTTTAAAAAACAAAAAGGGGCTGGGT